TAGGAAGTCACAAAGCCAGGACTCCTGAGTCTGGATTAAAGTCCTGGAGCCAGGGGCACCTGGGTGGCTCAGTGGGTTAAAGCCTCTGCCTTCAGTGCAGGTCATGATCCCAGGGTCCTGGGATCGAGCCCCGAATCCAGCTCTCTGCCGGGCGGGTAGCCTGCTTCCTCCTTTCTCTGCCTGTCTTTCTGCCTACTTGTGATCTCTGTCAAATTAAAAAAAAAAAAAAAATCTTTAAAAACAATAAAATAAAGTCTTGGAGCTAGGACTCCTGAGTCCAAACAGCTGAGTCTGTCTGACTCCCCATGTCAGTCTTGGACACCCGTGTCCTGTTCTCTTGACCAGCTCAGTAATTTGGGATCAGGCACTGCTTTTTGAGGAAGGCACTGCCTTTCCACCCTGACCGCACTGCCCGCTGTTTCTGTAAGGTGAGGCAGGGGGCTGGTCTGTTCTCTCCCTGAACTCTCCGCCCCTGTATGCCACCCCTCTCCCCTCCAGAAGTCTGTCATCAGACGGTCACCAGGGACTCCAGCTGCATCTCCTGGGGTCCCCTCAGGGCCACCCTGGCAGTTGGTACCCTTGGGCTGTTTGCTGGCCCTTGGCCCCTGACCATAAAATGGTTCCACTCATCCTCAAAAAAACACAACAAGAAAACAACCATTTTGGACGTGGGCCCTGATGCGTAATATCATTACAGAGCCAGCAGTGCATCCCCGCCCATTATCGCCCGGCCAGGCTTCTCTGAGGCGAGCCTGGCTGCAAATGGCTTTCTCCGGTCTGGGGGGGGCCCTGCAGCCCCCACTCACCCTCCATGGCCGGAGGAGATCTTATCTTTAATTGACAACTGGCTGCCTGCCATCGTTTTGCCTCAGCTGGCTCCGGCTCCAAGCCCGATTTCCTCTCCCACTTCAGGAGCAGGCTTCCCCTCACTTCTTCTATCCCCTCGGCTCTGCCTCCCTCGCCCCTGCCCCCTGTGACCGGACATGGAGGAGAACTCAGAAGTCTGTGCAAAGGCCTGAGAGCTACAGCAAAGTGTGAGGAGGGGACTAACAACTTGCCGGGCACCCATCGTGTGTCATGTGCACACTGAGGGCTCCAGGCCAGGTCTGGACACTCATGGTGTCTGAAATGGGGGCTGTTGTGATTCCCGTTCTCTCCAGTCCGGGAAACAGAGGCTCAGTGAGCCGCCCCAAGTTACCCAGCTAGCACATGGCGAGCTTTGAATCCAGACATTGAACTGAGGCCCTGGGCCTCTCGCTTCTGCCTAGAATAAGAGAGGGTGAGGTGGACGGACACACGTCCCCAGATGTGGCTGCGTGGCTTCCAGAGTCCAGTGCCAAATGAACACGCAGGGCCCCCTCTGCTGTGATTTCAAGACGGTGACAGCTGAGCGTGAAGCTGCACGCCTGGGAGTCAGCCCCGCAGGTGCCCCGACGTGAGTGATCGGGGAAAACCTCGGGAGGGGCCGTGTGTCACCACTACATACCATGACCCCCATCCTCTCTGGGCCCAGGATTTGATCATTCCCCACCCCTCAGTAGTCCCAGATGTGCTGTCACTCCCCTGCTGGCCTCAGTTCAACAGCCACCCAGTCGTCACCGTGCCTTGGGCATCCCCAGGGCCTTAGCCCACATAGAATTAGCACAATTGCTGGGAGGAGCCCCTCCCCCACAGAAACAAGCAGGAATACAGGGGCACTCCTTCCAAACCCCTCCGTCCTTCCAGGCTATGGTGGGGCTCAGGGGGCACCAGCGGAGACCAGAATGCTGGGGGTGGGGGAGCTGGGTCTTCCTTTCCCAACCCCAGGCAATCCTTTTTCCTCTCTGAGCACTCACGTCTAGCTCTGAGTGCAGGGGTGGTGAGGTAGCGATGATTCCTGGTGGGGGCGGGGGCTGCCAATGATAGGAGTGTGCTGCATTTCTCGTGTTGGGATAGAAGCCCAGGATGTCCCCGCAGACACAGAGCCAGAAAGGAGAGGCAGAGGCAGTCACTCACGGGAGCAGCAGGATGCTCCAGAAGTTTTTATTGGGGCTCAAGCACGGCATGACAGTGGGGGACATCCAGACAGGGCGGCAGGGCCCAGCCTTGGCATGCCTCAGACACACACATGACGGGACAGCTCTAGAAAAGGACTGACCAACACTAGGAAGGGACAGGGCGGGAGGTGGGGGGCGTGGAGTGGGGAGGGAGGGCTGCAGAAGGGGCAGAGGCCAAGGTCGAAGGGGTCACCCGGCCTCTGCTATTGCACGGTCCTCTGGCCACCGGCCAGGAAGTACAGTATTGCAACTGGTCTCCACTCGCCCGAGGCATCCCCTTCTCAGACCCCTGAGCCGGATGGGCAGACAGACCCCTTCCCTGCCCGTCTGCCCAGCAGCATCTTTGAAAACAAACGGACGAAGGGGACAGAACAAAAACTCCCAAATAAAAAAAAAAGACAAAACGCCCCTCTCAGTCCAGGACAGAGGTAAGGGGGAGGAAGGAGTGGAAGGAGTAGCCAAGGAGCCCCTGGAAGTCCCCCCCAAATTGAGGTGAGGGTGGGAGGTAGAACCCCAATCTGGGGTGGGATGGGGCTAGTGGGGAAGTGGCCCTGGGGGGAAAGCAGGCCTTCCACAGACCACAAGCCACAGGAGAAACCACCCCAAGAGGGCAAGTCTAGCCTGGGATCCCTCCCAGTGGGACTGGCTGTTCCCAGACGCTCTTTTCCTGGGACATTCCACATACGTGTTCAGCAGAAATAAGGAGTCAGTGAAGGGGAAGGGGATGAGGGTGGGGGAGCCTGGGGGTGGGGCCTGGGCTGGGGGAGACACAGCCTGACAAAGAAGACAGACCACCAAAAGCACGTGCACTACACACGAGAGTATAGTATGTATGAATATAGACGCTATATGTGCATATATATCTCTTCAATGTACAACAGACAGAACATCGGGCCCAGATGGCTCTGGGCCCAGAGGGTCACATGGGAGGTTTTCCATCAGTCCTGGGCAAACAAGGATCTCTGAGTCTTTCTCAGCAAAAGATTCTTGCCAGGGTTCCAGAGTTTCCCTAAGCCTTGGCTTTCTGTCTGTCTGCCTGCCTCTCTCACGTTGGTGCCGCTTAAGAGAGGGTGAGGACTTCAGCCTGGGCATAGCTGGGCGAGAGGGCGTCTCGGCAGGTCTCTGTGTTTAAAGAGCACAGGTGTGAGACACTGGGACGCACGCTTTCAGCTCAACATTGCCTTCTGGGGGGGCAAGGAGTTCAGCAAAAGAAAGGGAGAAACAAAGAATGAGATGTTAGAAGGAAGCCAGCTGCTGACCCACAGCCTGTGGGCTAAGGACTAGGCCAGGAGCAGAGCTGGAAGGCAAGGGGACCCAGGGCGAAGAGGCGGGAAGCACAGGGATGGGTCAGGGAATGGGGTGAGCCCCTCCTCCCGCCCATAGCTGCCTACCCAGAACTAGGCCAAGTGACTCCTAGGTCATGTTACAGCTTATCTCCATATGTACTCAGGTAATGAGCTCCAGGAATCCCCAGCCTTCAGGTTGTCACAACTTCAGTGCAGTGGGCAGGAGGACCACAGCCCTGCAGCCTGGCATGGAGGCACTGGGGGAGGTTCCTGGCATGACCTGTGGTCCAACCTGGGCTCCCACACAGCTCCTGAACCCCCACAGAGCTCCACCCGCCATCACCAGCTGGGGTCATTCCACTGTCCCGGGGGCTAGTGAAGAAGGTCCCTAAGTGTGCTGCCTTGTGGTGCCTAGCCCCTCTTCCTCAATCTGGCAGAAACAGAGTTGGAGCAGCTGGAGGGTAGATACCAAAGGGGAAGGTCAGGGAGGACCCATGTGTCCATCTCAGGAGACAAAGCCAGAAAAAAGCATCTTATTGAGAAACCCAAAGCTCAGTGAGCCCTTCTCGCCATCCCATCCTCAGCCTGGAATGTCAGTGGCGTGGGCCTTCCCTTCTCCTACTTTCCCAGCACTGACACAGGAAGGGCAGGCAAGGAGGCTGCCATGGGGGCAGGGATTTCAGGGTTATACTCTGGCCAGGGCAGAGGAGGCCCCCCTCCCAGGGGACTCTGGGAAAGGGCAGCCCAGGGGCCAACAGGTGACTCCTGGAGTCCCAGCCCTCAGGCTGGTATTCTGTCTCCCCTCTGACTCCTGCTCCTATGCTGAATGGACTCCCCCCGCCGCCAACAACCCTGGTTTCAGCTCACAGCCCAGGGGAGGAGCTCCTCCTCAACGCCCAGGGTTGAGAAATGCCTCTAAGGTTGTCAGTAAGGTTAACAGCTCCTATCTGGGCTGCTTCCCTGCTCTGCCAGGACAGCGTGGGCCCCAGCTGTGGGGGAAAGGCTTCTCAGAGACAAAGTAATGGGTACAGGTCCAAGTCCACATGCAACACAAAGCAAACTGTGCTCTCAGATTATAGGCAGAGGAGAGAGTCTTTCCCTGAGGAGGGAGGCCCCAGGTCTGGATAAGTTGAGGCCTGGGCAGGCAGCCACCTCCCTAGGCAGGGCCCGGTATACAGTGGGTCTCTATAAATCGAGGACTCACTTTGCCCCTTCCCAGGGCCCAGAGGTCCTGAGAGGTTGCTGTGGTGGATGGCCTACTTTGCCGTCATTAGCTAGGTCCTGTGTTTCGCCAACAGAAGCCAGAGAACCAGTGCGGGGACAGGCAGGAGCCCATCTCCCAAAGGCACAAGGGGCTCCAGCCCAGCACTCCCATATCATGTTGCCCAAGGACAGCTGTACCCACCAGAGGGGTGCCATGAGCATGCCCGTCCCTGTGGGAGGGAAGAGAGGGAAAGAGGAGGTGGGTGCCGTGGAAACTTGGACTCCTGACAACTTGAGGGCCGTTTCAGAAATAGCCGCTTCAGCTCCCTGAGCCAGGAAAGCAGGCCCAACCACAGAAGCGCTGTGGGGCTCGCACAGAGCCAGACACCAGGTCCCCGCTGGGGCCAGGACCCCAGGGCCAGGGACCCCTGCTGGGACAGGACTGAATCTGTCCTCACCTAGAAGCAGCTGGACTCTAAGCCCCAGCTTTGACAGGGCTCCTAGAGTCTCCATCCTGCTCCACACGGCTTCCCTGTCCCTGTCACTTGAAGGGGCCTGTCCCCTCTTGAAGGGTGGTCACATGGATGCCCCCATATTTTCTCACCTCTTGGGGGTTCATCTCATTCTGAGAGCAAGCCAGAGACAGGCCTCATGGACCACAGCAGGGTTGGGGTATCCCAGGACCCGCTGCAGACTTTTCTGGAAGGCACATTCCTGTGTCTGCCCCAGGCTGAAGACAGAGGGCACTGAAAGGGGGGTGGTCCTGGCAGAGGCTTTTCACAACACCCAACTCTCATGAAATGATCTGGACTTTCTGCCCAGTTCACCTTTCGGGGGCACCTCCAGACTCCCCGGCCCCCTGCTGAGTCCCTGAAGGCTGTCTTGCCATTCTTACCTTTGCCCACCCTGGAAGGAGCAGATATGGACCTTAGTCATTCCCTCTCCAAAGTTGTGTAATCTGACTCTAAAAATTGCCAGGCTCCACTGTCAGGTCTAATTCCCATCAGGTGAAACAGGAATGTCTTGGCTGAGGCCTTCTGGGGTCCTGGGACAGAGGGGGCCTGGAGAGCCTCCCCTGGTTCACTGCTAGAGAGGGGCCCCCTGCAGCCCAGCCCCGCCCTGCCTGGAAGTGACAGGGTGCTTATGCAGGAGCGGGAGGAGGTGGGATTGCTTCTGTCCCCACACTTCCCCTCAGCTGCCCCTGCCCAGGGTGCACCCCTGCTCCCTCAATGACTCACACACCTGTTGTGCTCCCGGGCTCATTAGGTAAATGAATACACTTAATTATAGAAATTAGATGAGTCTCCGGCTCTGGCAGCCATCCAGAGCGCAGAGGCTGGGTGGGAGCGGCAGGTGACTCAGGCAGGGCTGGGAGTCTGAGGCAGCAGGAGGAGGAGGGAAGAAAAACTCGTGGAAGCAGAGAGAGCAGCGCGGGAGAGATACGGCTGCTGGGGTGCAGATGGGATGCCAGGTTCTGCCGCCACAGGGTGTCACTTCCGGGAGGAGGGCATTCCCATGCCCCGGCAGCCAGCCAATCTTGGGACCCTAGGGACCCCACCTGCATGCCAGGCCAGAGCTGGAGAGCATCAGGCCTCCTCTCCCAGGGGCGCACCGCTCCTCTGACCAGCCAGCTCCCTATGCACCAGCAGAGATGGGGCGCCTGCGGGACAGCCTTATTCTTTGCTGGTCTAGGAGTAGGATGGACAGACAGACAGACAGAGATAGTCAGTCGCAGGCTGGTTACCGACTGAAGGCCACGAGGAGTGGAAATGCATTCCCCAGGATGAAGGTGGGACTCTGAGGGGAGGCAAGGCTCAGAGGCACAAGTCCCGGAGGGCAGTGGTGGGTAATGCCAGCAGCTCGGGCTCAGGCCAGACACCAGTGCAGGAGGAGCCCTGGGAGTAATCTCCCCCTTGCTCTCAGGCTCCAGAGCCGAATGTTCTGGGGAGTTGGGTGCTGTGGGGGAGAGGCTTGGGGGCCCGGGTTCTCCTGCCTCCTGCCGGGCTCCCTTGGGCCTACGGAGGAATGAGGGCTGGAGGGCATGTGAGCGTGGCGTGCGCCCAGATGTGGGGAGAGCCAGGGGCACGGCTAAGGGCCAGGGTGTCCGGGTGGAGGGCTGGTGAGAGGGTGGAAGGGGTGGGAGAACAGGAGCTTTCTCGGAGGATAAGGTGAGCTGTATCTCGATGCCAGTGGAGACAGCCCCAGACTGGTTCCAGCTGCTCCTGCTATGCTGTTTAGACTCCGGGATTTTGCACAGCCTTGGTGAAGAAAAGGCACATGGGTCAGAGAGGCATGGCCCCTCATCTGAGCAGCTCCGTGGGATCCATGCTCCAGGAGGGCCCTGTGGTGCACGCAGCCCCACACTGGTTGAGGGATCTGGCCTGCCTGGGGAAGGCTCCCTGACTTTCCCTGAGTTCCAGGTCATCTGGGCTCCAGAGGACAGACCTCAGGGCCCCCACAGCTGAGCTCTGCCCTGTCACTGTCCCCAGGTAAGCTCCCCTCCAGTGACTCAAAGACCCCATAGCCTCCAGTAGCCCTCTTCTCCATCCTAAGCAACCCCAATCAGCACCAGTCCCCTTCCCCCCAGGAAGTTCACACTCTGATCCTCAGGCAGCCGGAGTCTAACCATGGGGTCTGTGCCCATGGCTGAAGGAGACCCGGGCTCCCCACTCCAGCTCCTACACGGAGCCTGAATGCAGAGAAGGGAGGCACGGTCTGGCAGGGGGAAAGTTGCCGAGTGCTTCCTGGGAGTTTGGCGATGCTAACTGCCACGCTTGCTTAGCAGGGCCTGTTTCCCAGCAACCCACCTGTTCCTTCTCGAAGGTCACTCTAATTGGCTGAGCTACATGCTTGTTGCCAAGAAGCAGTGTGGAGGCATCTTGAAAATAAAACAGCCGGGACACACAGGCACCCAGAGGGATCTGGCGCTGTGTGCGATCCAGACTTTCCCGCCCATGCACACACACGTGCGACCCCGGCCCTGGGTGTGACCCACTGCAGCTTCTTCCACGCTGCCACTGAGCCCCTCACGATACCAGCAGGAAAACTGCGGTGCTCAGCACTCGGCTCAAGTCCTACATGGGAGGTGGGGATCCCTCCTGCCCCACAGGAGTACCTAGGGCCTCTGGGCCGTCTCCTTCCAGCTGCCAGATGGCTTCTCCTGCTGCTGCCACCCAATAGGACATATGTCCAGCAGAACAGGACACATACCCCTCAGGGCCTGGTTAGGGTCACAGTGCCCTGGAGATCCCATGGGGACAGGGGCCAGGAAGGTGCCTTGCAGGCTGAAATGGGCAGGCCAGGGGACATCCTTGGAAGGACATAGGCATCCTGGGCTAATCCCGTAGCAGCCCCTGCCCCACTTCATTCAACCCAGATTTGGTCTGGAGCTTGGGGCTAGTGAGAAGTTTGGCAGGGGTGGAGGGAGCAAATTTGGCTAAAAGAGGGCAGATTAAGAAGTGGCCTCAAAACCCAGGGACAAGCTTTTTTTGGGGGGGCGTGGGGGACTCAAGGTTTATCCCAGAACTAAGTTTTTAGGCAGGTTATGTCACAGGAACAGAGCAAAAGAAAAAAAAAAAAGACAAAAAAAGGATCAGGAACGGGGCAGGAGCACCTGCTCTTGACACTCCTATTCTCAGCCACTACTGGCCCTCAACCATCCTCGGTCATTTCTGACCCCCTTTTGGCAGGAAGGAATCCCCAGATCCACCGCCCGGCTTCTGCCCTGTTTCTGCTGCAGCCTGGGGCCTGCTGGTAGAATTTCAACCTTCCCTTATGGAGAGATCACGCTACTTCCCAGAACCCCGGAGGGGTTCCTTCAGAACACACTTCAGAGGGATACACATTCCCTACCTACTCCTACCCCAATCCTCATGTCCTGGTCACCTTCTGGCTCTGCCTTAAGAGGCCTGTAGAGCTGGGGGGGGACCCTCCTGGGCTCTTGCGCCCCACACCCCCACCCCATGAGGGATGGCAGAGATAGGGCCTATGCTAGGCTCTCCGAAGACAGCATACCAACAGCTCATTCTTACCCTGACTCCTGAATGTTGTTGCCATCTCTCGGGACTACTTACTTAGGAAATCCTAGCTGTGTTTCAGGGAGGTCTAGGGAAAGGGTGGCTGTGACCCTGGGGAGCCAGACCTCAAGGTCGCAGCAGGCACCAGAGGGAGAGGTGGTGATAAAATGGAGGGCAAAGGCAGGGACCCCTGATTTGGTATCCCCTTACCCTCTAGCACTTGTTTTTCCCGTGGGCAACTGGGGTGGGTTGTGCTGGGCTCTGTGTACCTCCAGGGGATGGCCTGAGGCCTTTCTAATCCAGGGACTGGGAGATCAGAGTACCCATCTTAAAAGCGGGGGCACGTCCAAGGCCGAGGAGATGGTGGCCAAGGCCTCAGGGGAGGAGGGGACCTCAAGTTTTGCAGGGGACACTGGGGAGACTCAGCTCCCCGGGGGCTCCCCACCTGCCCGGCCTGGGGAGCCATACCTTTCCGGACACTACCATCGGCACAGGCATAGTCCCCGGCGCTGAGCAGGAAGCAGGCGGCTGCCTTCTTGTTTTTGTCTCGGGGGCCAGAGCGTCGCAGGGCCCGGCGCTCCTCAGGGGTGGGGACAGAGGCCAGGGGCTGGGTGAGGCCAGCTCCCTCCTCATCTGACAGCACCGCATTGGCATCACCGTTCTGCTTGGAGTCTAAAGGGGGGCAGACAGAAAGGAGGCTGAGTGAGGGGCTGCCCAGGCCTTCCCCAAGGGCTTGCCTGGGGTATCAGATCCCGGACCGAGAGTGTCACTTCCCCGACCTGGGGGGCCTGGCATCTGCCTGGGAGGGCCAGGGGCAGGGGGCAGGGGGCAGGGGCCCTGCCTCCTTCTCAGCCTTGGCCTAGCATCTTTCCCAGGACACGGAGTTACAGATACCCGAAGCAGGGGTTCCTAAAATCTGTCTGCTGAGGGCTGCTCCAAGGGATTAGCCTGAGGCAGGTGGCAGACTGCTTCCTCCTTGGGTCTGGCTCAGGCTGACACTTGGATGAGTTTGCATTCCGTCAGAGAACGCCTGGCTTGCTGGGATGAGGGCTGGCATTGTCAGGGTTAAACCGAGAAAGTGGCTTCCTCGGCCATCTCCCTGGGCCCCCTGAAGGCAGTTACTCTTGTTCACTGGGCATCTAAGGCAGAGTCGAGTACCTGAAGGATTCAGAGCCCTCTTCTTGGGGCTCCCCTGCCTTGGGAAGACCCTGAACTGGAGATGCTCCAGTGCAGCTCCCACTGCTGTGGGCTTCTAGCCCCAAACCCCCGGCCTCTGTCAGGCAGCAGAATGGGGGTGCCCTCAGCTCTGGAGAGGGGCCTGCTCGGTCTAAAGGCAGTGGCCTCAGCATCGGCCACAAATGCCCTGACCATGGCCAAACGGTTAGGGTCAGGCTGAGGCATAGCTGATGGGGCCGTGGTAAGTGTGCATTGAGGAGCTGGTGATGGGCCTTAGCCATTCTGACACTAGGTTTCCCTCTGAGCTCTGAATGGGCCTCGGGGTACAGCTGAAATCCCCTGGGGCACTGGCTGGGAGATTTACATTCAGGGATCAGGGAAGGGGGTACCACTTTGGTGGGGGAGAAGGGGGGAGGCTGAGGGGTCCTGTTCCATCAAGGTCTCTGGAAGACCCAGGCCCCCAAATGACCCCATGGAGTGAGTAGCCCCAGCATGTACGCCATGTTGGTCCCAGCCAACAGGCCAAGTGAGAGTCTCGAGTCAGGCATCCCCCCCCACCGCAGAGGATGAGTCCCACTTTGCCCCCAGAGTTTGGCTGTAGAAGCTGCTATCTTTGTCTCCTGGCCCACCCCCAGCTCCCCGGGAGGGCTTGGCATCCAAGGCCTCCCTAGACCAGGAATCCCAGACCTCCCTCAGGAGCCCACCGCATATTTAACCCTCAGGTTCCCGCTGTCTATCCTAACTCGAAGTTGCTTCGGGTTGAGCCAATTTCCTTTCCGGTCTCTTGACTCAGGTGGAAGCCATCTTCCCAAGGGCGGCCTTTCCCATCCTTGAAGAACAGGTTCCAGGCCCTCAGACCCTCCCCTTCCAGGATGCAGATGCCACTTCTTCCACCCTTCCTTTTCCCCTGCCTGACTCTGTCTGGCTGTTCCCTCTTGGTTCCCTCCCATCCCATGTGAAACCCTGAGCCCAGGACTCAATCTAGTTTGTGCTGAACAGAAGGCAGCCTCCCACTGCTGTTACGTTATCACATTTATTAGGCCAAGAGACATCAGACTCCAGTGTTTGGAAAGAAATGATTCATGCGTTGATGCACCTTGGAAGAACAGCTGTCCCTGCTGTCTAGCTAATAACGACAAGGCCTGGTGCTTGTAAAGTGGCTTTTCCTTCTCAAAGCCCTCTCACATCTGTCATTTGTTTGGGTCTCATCAACGTCTTGGGAGTAGGAGATCATTCCCATTTACCAGGTGAAGATCAGAGAGGGTAAGTGACTGGCCTCAGGTCACACAGCACAGCAGCCAAAGTGGTACTGGAATTTACAACCACATGCACTGCCCATCACAGCCTAAATTGAGTGGGACATTCACTTCCCAAACCCTGACGTTCAGAAAGCTACTGGAACACCAGAAGATAGAGATGGGCCTCAATACTTTGCACTCTTAAAGGCACATCTTATCCTCAGGGAAGCCCGGAGTAGTAAAGCACAACCCCAAATTCCAAGGGCCTTAGATCATCTGGGGACTCCCTGGGCCACAGGGGGAGAGGTGGCTTTCCTTCCCAACCCCCAATCTCACCTGCCCGTTTCCTCTCAACCATACCCTCTTCTGGGGCAGGGGGACTGATGTCACTGTAGGTGCTGTCCCGGGGCGAAGTCTCCTCAGACTTGCAGTAGATGGGTGACTCAAGATGGGGCGGCCGGGGCACATGCTTCTTTCTTTTCTTAGGCAGCTTCTGCTTGGCCATGGCCAGGGAGTAGTACATGCCAAAGTTGTTGACAATGACCGGCACAGGCATGGCGATGGTGAGCACGCCAGCCAGTGCACACAGCGCCCCCACCAGCATGCCTGACCAGGTCTTGGGGTACATGTCCCCATAGCCCAGCGTCGTCATGGTAACCACCGCCCACCAGAAGCCGATGGGGATGTTCTTGAAGTCGGTGTGGTCATTGCCCCGCGGGTCGGAGGGCCTAGCGCCAATGCGCTCGGCATAGTAGATCATGGTGGCGAAGATGAGCACCCCCAGGGCCAGGAAGATGATGAGCAGCAGGAACTCGTTGGTGCTGGCGCGCAGGGTGTGGCCCAGCACGCGCAGGCCCACGAAGTGGCGCGTGAGCTTGAAGATGCGCAAGATACGCACAAAGCGCACGACGCGCAGGAAGCCCAGAACGTCTCGGGCTGCCTTGGAAGACAGGCCACTCAGCCCCACCTCCAGGTAGAAGGGCAGGATGGCCACGAAGTCGATGATGTTGAGCAGGTTCTTGACGAAGTCCAGCGTGTCCGGGCAGCACACGATGCGCACCAGGAACTCCAGCGTGAACCACAGCACGCACACCCCCTCGATGTACGTCAGGATGGGCTCTGTCTCCACCTCCCGCCGAAAGTGCACGCTGGTGGTGTTCCCTACCCGGTGGATCTCGGTCACGTTGCGGTCGATGTTAAAGGCCTCGTGGGTCTCCAGGCAGAAGGTGGTGATGGAGACCAAGATGAAGAAGAGAGAGGCGAAGGCCACCACCTGCGAGGCAAGGAGGAGAGCGGGGTGGCTGTCAGGGCAGGGGGAAGGGGATGGGGGGGTTCTCTTGTGCACGGGGGTGGGAGGGGTGGGGCAGGGATGACCAAGCAGTTGTTATGTGGTGAGAGGCAGGATTAAGGTACACAGTAGGGGCTAAAACCCCCTCCGTAGACGGTCTCTATCCATCTGCTTGGGTGTTTTAAGGTAGTACTTCCCAATCTTTCTCCTGGTGCACACAAGATCACAAGATAGTCAAGTGGACGGGGAACAGTAGCCGCCTGGCCCCGCCTCCTAAGCGGCCCCACCCCCTCCCCAGCTCTGTGCTCCTGCAGTCCCGTGGTGCCTCAAAGCTTCCCAAACTGTAACCGGTATATAAACCATCTGGGAATCTTGTCAACATGTGATTCTGATTCAGGAGGTCAAGGGCAGGGCCTGTGATTCTGCTTTTCTAAGAAACTCTGGCGTGAAGCTGCTGGTCCACAGACTACACTTGGAGGAACCAGACTTTAAGACAGTGGTCCTCAAAGTGAGGCCCAGGACCAGCAGCAGCATGGCCTGGGAACTAGCTAGAAATGCAAATTCTCCAGCCCTGCGTAAACTTACTGAATGAGACATACTGTGGGCAGGGCCCCCATAATCTGTTTTAACAAACCTTCCAGGTAATTCTGATGCACACTAAGCTCTGAGGTCTGCTGCATTCAGGGATATGCCCAGAGACAGGGGGCTGGTGGGAATGACCGTGTCCTCTCTCTGCCAGCTGAGTCTTTAAGCTCCAGCCATGACCCACCCCCACCTCCTTAGGCCCCAGGTACTAGCCCCCCTCCCCTGCCTCTCAGTTTAGAATGTCCCAGACAGTGAGAAGCATCTGAAGGAAGACAGCATGCTCCATGGCAGGAGACAGGGGGAGTGTGCTCAGAATAAACTGAGCTCCAACAAAAAATAAACTGCACCCATTGGGATTGGAGTGTGGCAGCGGCTGGTCCGGACAGCTGCTGGGATCTCAGCTAGAACGATGACAGCAGCGCTTGGCAGAGGTCTAAGTGTCCAATCATTATGAATGGAGAGGAAATGCATGTGTAATAACACCAATTAGGGAGCCTTCATCTGTTATTCACCACTGTCAGGGTACCTGTTGCCAAGGTCTACGCCCCCTGCTGCTGCCCGCCCTCCCCGAACAGAGGGCTCTACTTCAAACAGGTGCATGAGGAAGGACTGTGGCCCCTCCACCACTTGGCAACCCCCACGCCTTCCCCGCCCTGATTTCCACCTGACTATGGCGTTGCCTCCTGTCTAATGGTGCCTCTCGGAGATGCTTTGCTCCCTGAGAGTCTGCGCTGGAAGGGAGAGAAGGCATGCCTTGCTCTTACTTCTGCTGAACACCAATGGGAGCTCCTACAAGGGGAGCTGGGAAATAGAAGCAGCAGCATCTCCGGGGCTTCTGAAGCAGGAGCGAGTCTGAGGAGAGAACTTGGGAATGAACATTCATTAGCTGTCTATTCCGTCCTGGCACGGCTGGGTACGGGTACATGTTACCGCCTTCAGTCCCCCCCGTGACCCTATGACGACGTAAGCCTCATCATCTCACTTCACGGATGGGGAACTGAGCATCAGAGAGGTTCTGTGCTTGCCTGAGGTAACACAGCCTGGAAGGGGTGGAAACCACACTTGAACTCACCACGGTTTAACTTCAGAGGCTGTACCTTCTCTTTACAACACACTGTCTTCACCACCTCCCGGGCAGGATCGATCAGTTCACAGACCCAGGAAAGTCTTCTCTGAACTGTCAGCACTGCCCCCAGCCAACTCCCTGATGAGTGCTACTTCAACCTTAGGAATGTGTACCTTTGGATTAAGACAGACACCCATCACACACTAAGATCTCTTGTGTGTTACCCTTGAACAGGGACAAGTTGATGAGATCAGCGAGGAAGGAGAAGGGAGGTGGCAGGCCACAGATAACACTTCCCCTCCTTGAATAACTTTGCCTGGAGCTTCTCCTGTCTCCTGCTTTCCTGTAAAGGTAAATTTCAACTTCCTTTTCTGACCTCATTTTACTTCCCTGAGCAATGGGCTGGCCAGGCAATACAGGTGATGTGGGCCTTAGGAAATGGCTCCAGCTGCGGGCTCTCCCTGGCCATCCAGAGACGAATTGGTGGAGGGACCTGTCTGGTGGCAGTGGGGATGCTGGGAACCCAGAGTCCCGGCACTGCCCACTCCCCCATCCCCAGAAGCAGAGGAGGTTGGGGTAAGGGGCAGGGCCAGCATATCCAGGCTCTGCCAGGGAGTATGGGAAGCGGGAGCTTGCTCTCTCCGCTCGCTCTCTCTGAGGGAAAGTTAGCCAGGAGAGTTGGCCCACCTGGGAGCTGAGCGAGAAGTTAATTAGTGATTTGGAAAAACAAGTTCAGGAAGAGCTGCCAAGGGGCTGAGCAGAGGGCACAGAGAGGGGGAAAGGGAGGGAGGCCCATGTGCCCGGCTCCTTTCAAGTTCCTTCCTCCTCCCATGTTAGGGAACAACTCCCTGAATTCCCGCAGTATTCACTCACTTTCGCTGTGTTTTTAAAACACAGAACTCTTTATCTATTTACTCCTACCACTCACCTCCACCCTCCCTAAAGATGGGGCAGGCAAAGGGTAGCCACCCACATGTGCCCATTTCTCAGGGCGGCAGACACATGGGAGAGGGCAAATGACTGGCTCAGAATGGAACTGAGGTCACGTCTCCGGCCTCTCAGCTTAGAGTTCTTTCCACTTGGCCCTCTAACCAAACAAGTAGGGACGGTCCACTCCTCCTTGGTGACCCCTTCATGTGACCGCTCCGGGGCTGGCAGGCGGCGCCGGGCAGGCCCCAGAAAGCCGTCCCTCCCCGAGGAGACAGACAGACCTGAGGCTGAGCCATGACAAATGGAGGCATCTGGGCTCTGGCCACATTGCCCCAGGTGAGTCCCAAGGTTATGGGTCCCCCTTCTGGACCCCAGTTATTCTTTTCTCCCCTAAGCTATCCCCAAACTGAACTATTTCCTAAGTGGTGGTCCTAAGCAAACTCAATCAGGCCCTTCACCAGGTCTTCCCCTCTGGCAGTAGGGACACTGCTTTTTTTTTTTTCCTCCCACTCTCTTGATTGAGGGTTTTGGGGGACAAAAAAGGGCCAAGGAAGGCGATAGTGGCTGCAAAAGTCACCCCATTTAGGCATCAAGGCCTGGAGCTGGAGCCCTCTGAGCAGCCCTTACAAGGCCATCCTGGACCGAGAGCCATGAGCACTGGCACCTCCTCCTGATCGGCCCCTGCTGACCAGAGCGAGCGCAAGGAGCTAAGTTGCCCTGGGGTCAGACAGCCTAGGTCTCTCCCCTGGAATGGTGTGCTTTGTACCTGTCTCTTCCTACAAAATGGGGACACACTAGAGCCCACCTCGTGGTGTTACTGAGGGACTAAAGGAGCTTCTAATGGCAAGTGTCTAGCACACAGTATGTGCTCAGTAAGACAATGACAGAGCCGAGGTGTGGGGGCCTCCACAGACCCCTGCCTGCAGCTTCTGACAGCAGAGCTGGATCTGGAGTGAGAAAAATCACAAAATCCCTGCTTTCTAAAAGCAAAGGGTCCTGGAAGCTCCTCCCTTTCTGCTTTTTTTACAACCAAAGAAACTGAGGCCAGGGGAGGAGTGACTCGCCTTGGTTGCCATGGAGGAAGCGGTCAGTTCTTTCTAAGACCTGAGGACACGGGGCGTAGATTCTGCTGGAAGACAAAACTGCCCAAGCGGAAAACCACTTGTGTGAACTGATCTGGCCAGCAGCTACTCTGTCCCTGCTGGAAGGCTACAGGGTGCTCTCACCATCCTGGACAGGAAGTTCCTAGCAGGAAACCTAGAGGGAACTAGAGGTTCCTGTGCAGGAAAGCGCTGCTCCTTCCAGCTTCCTGCTCCCCCGGGACCCCACATGGCTGGTGCTATATCCTCTTAGGGACCCGCTGGTCTGGAGACCCCAGGTGCTTGAGCTGGTGGATCAGCTCTCTTATCAGCCTCCTTCACCGAACTCATCCTGAGATAGTTGGTGGTGGAAATCTAAAGTCCCACACTTCTGGGTCCAAGTTGGGCTCTGCTGCCGACTGCCTGAGGGACCTTAGGCAAAGTTCTTAACCTCTCTGAGCCTTCATATTTTTGCTCATAGAATGGAAACTGAGTGCCTACTATGTGCCAGACAATGTTCTGGGTGCTGGAGAACAGCAGGAAACAAAATAAACACCCCTGTCCCTTAGGCCTTACATTCTAGTAGAAGGAAACTGTCAACAAATTAGTAAACTATATCGTATGCCAGCTGCTCTAAGTGTTAGGAAGAAAAACAAGAGTCAAGGGGGTAAGGAATATGAGGGTGAGGGAAGCATTTCAAATCGGGTGATAAGTCAAGGCCTCAGCCAAGGTGACATCTAAGCAGAGGTCTGAAGGAGTGAGGGAGGGGGTTATGTGAAGGTCCAGGAGAGCTCAAGACACAGAGAGAGCAGGCAGTGCAAAGGCCCTGAGGCTACAGTGTGCTTGATGTGTTGAGGTGATGAGACCAGTGCTCACCTGATGAGCTGTTTTAAGGATTAAAAGAAACGATATTTGTAAAACTCAGCACAGAGCCTGGAGTGTTTCAGGAATCTGGCACAGGCTGGGTCGGGGTGGGGGGGCCTAGGGGGGAGGTGACAGACACCAGTCATTGGGAACTGAATACAATCAGCGGGGGCAGGGGAGGGGAGCCCAAGGAGAAAGGGCCAAGGAGACAGATGGACAGATAAACATAAGAAGACTCATGCCCAAAACCTATATTAAGGATGGAGTGTAGGAGAAGAGAAATTTGAGAACACAGCCAAAGATGCTTGCAGACGAATATCTGTGGGGATGGAATGAGGAGTTGAAGCTTCCGGGGAAGTGAGATCCTAGTGCCCAAGCAGAGCTGCAAAGGGAGCAGGCAGCCCCTGGGGGCTCAGAGGCAGGCAAGGAGAGAGAGTCTGCCAGGCAAGGCATCTCTCTGC